ATTCTGGCCTTAGATTTCTGGAACCAATCTGTTCCTAGTAGTAGCGTTTCGTCCCTTGATTCCACGACTTGTAGGTCGATAGGGATCCCTACTTTCTGGACCGAAACCTCTATATTTTTGACTTTTCCCAGCATTCTCTCCTGGGCTCCTGTTACAGTGACGATCACCGTATTTGATTTTTTGTTGATCTGAAGGTTCAACTTATCTAGCAGCTTCTTTTATATTAGACTGACGGCCGCACCAGTATCCAAAATAGCTATCACAGGTTGCTGATTAATTTGGATATAGCATCAGGAGGCTGTTGTTTGTTCCTCTAGGTTGTATGTAATATAGTTAGTTTCTTGAGGTTGTTGTACCGGTCTCCTCAATATTTTGGCTAGGTTCCTGTGCTGGTTTGGATATTGTAGTAGCTGTCCCAACATAATGTTCGATTTTAGGGTGAGAACGTTGTCAGCTATGTTGTATGACATTAGTGACTCTACTACGGACGGTTCTCTTTTTCTGCGCGGCTTAGGAATTTCTTCCAAGTCTAAGTCCATTGGTTCGTCTTCATGGATCTCTACTTCCGTTGGTGGTACCCTGTCTGATTTTCTTCTGGCTCTTTGTTCACTATTATCTGAGTGTTCTATTCTCTTCTTGGGTGGTCTTCCTACTTTTCGGGTTACGTTGATATTATATATTTCATCATATTCTTCGATTTTGTAGTTGTCATCCCCTTCTATTTCGTAATGTTTAACACTCTTTGGTTATCTTAGGTGTTCTTGGTTATCCGCTGGTCTTTTATCGTAATATCTGGCGATATGTCCATAGACCTCGCATTGGAAGCATTTGTCGTTCCTTTTTGGTCTAGTAGCGGGCTGTCGGTCTCCGCTATCAGTGGTTGGTCTTGTCGCTGCGTAATTCAAGATGATTTCTTGTATCCTTTTTGTAATGTTACTCAGTTCATCCTCTAGTTTTTTGTGCTGTTGTTTTCCAGGTGTTTGCCTCCTGTAGTATTTACTGGCTTCTACTCATCTCGCTGTGGAGATTGTTTCTTGTAATGTGTCTGGTGATGTTACAGCAACAAACGTTGCCATGTTCCTTTTTAACCCGCTCAAAAACATCCATATTACGTAATTAAGCGGTAATTCTTCCTCGGGATTGACACATGTCAGTAACTTTTTGAATTTCGTGGCATACAAGTCTACTCTCTCGTTTTCTTCCTGCACTAGTTCATTAAGCTCTTTCTGCTATCGATGCTGTTTCTCTGGGGTCACGAAGTATTCAATCAACAGTTGATGGAAACTTTTGTCGTTTCGTTCCTCATCCCTTCATTCTCTAATGTTACCTCTCTGCTCTCTATACCAGTCTGCAACTAAACCACTCAGGTATCCAGGTACAATCTGAAGTTTTCATTCGTCAGTCCAGTTGTTCGCGTTTGCCGCCCTCTCAAATTCTTCCATCCATTCGATCGAGTCATTATCTTCTCTACCAGCGAAAGTTCTAATCTTCACGTAATTCGCCTCTTGAGCCCCGGGTCTTCCTCCCGCGATATGTCCTAGCAGTCGAGTTATTTCTTTCAGGAGTGGTTGGAACTGTTCTTCATTCATAATTGTGATTCTTTTGTACTTACTGGCAATCTTCTTTAGGTTTGTTGTTCGTAAAAAATATCGGGGGAGGGGGGGTAATGCTCTGTCACAGTTAATTTGAATCTCACAGTCACCACCAAATTGTTGGGGGTTATAATGGCAAGTCTGTCGTGACGTTACACGATCGGCGATTGCGACATAGCGACAGACTTGCCGTTATAACCCCCAATAGTAGCAATGTTGAATATTATATTTGATAGCAGCAAATACTTCTTTTATCTTATTTTTTTTCTTGAAAATTTTTTTATTTTCTTTCTTGCTTTTTTTCTTAAGAAAAATATTTTTTGCCACTTTTTTTTGAATAATTTTCCCTTGTTTTCATTGTTTTTTTCTTTTCCAAGTTTTATAAAAGTTTGTTCAATATTACATAAGATTAGCAAAGATATATAAAAATTATATAAAGCAAACTTGAGGTTATTATAAAAGTTATTATAAGAGCTATACAAAAAAATTATCAAAGTACATTAAAGATTAAATAACAGTTCAATTGGAAAAACAAGTTTCAAAAATTCATCAGGTGTTACAAAAAAGAATTTGCAAGATTATATAAAATTATATATATAAAAAATAAATATTTTTCAAGATTTTCTCTAAAAAAGAACTTATCAAAAATTTGCCAAAGGTTTTACAAAGGCTTTACAAAGATAGTATAAAGATTTCACTAAGGTTATATACAGAATTTATATCAGTATTGTTATCAAAAGAGTAAAATATTATTATTTGCTTGAATAATTTCAAAGCCAATATATAACTATCAATAATCTTGCATATGTTGGTTAAAGATTAATCAATTATAAGCATCTATTTGTAAGATAATATTTGAGACTATAGCATTTTATGAAATTATTAAAGTAATTAATATTATTTTATAATTGATTGTTTTATATAATTAATATTATACTTATCTCTTTTGTATAAGTATATCCAATTGTAATAAGAATTTTGTGATTTAAAAATTCTGAAATTTATGTTAATATAATAACAAGAGTCTACTGAGTATCATCACATTGTCACTTTGTCACTAGTTCACAAAGTATTATAATAATTTGATATAGCATTAATACAGAACAATATAAAAAAAAGAAATAGTTTTATTTACTCTTTAATACTTCTATATTTGAAGAAGAACTCTTATTTTTAAATATAGGATTAGAAAAATTATTATTAA